CCGGGGCTCAGACTGGGTAAATACCCAGGGCTCAGACTGGGTAAATACCCCGGGCCCGGGGCTCAGACTGGGTAAATACCCCGGACCCGGGGCTCAGACTGGGTAAGTACCCGGGGTCCAGGGCTCAGACTGGTAAATACCCCAGGCCCGGGGCTCAGACTGGGTAAATACCCAGGGCTCAGACTGGGTAAATAGTCCGAGCCCGGGGCTCAGACTGGGTAAATACCCCGGGCCCAGGCTCAGACTGGGTAAATACCATTGGGCCCAGGGGTCAGACTGGGTAAATACCCCAGGCCCAGGGCTCAGACTGGATAAATACCCCTGGGCCCAGGGGTCAGACTGGGTAAATACCCCAGGCCTGGGGGTCAGACTGGGAATACCCCAGGCCCGGGGCTCAGATTGGTAAATACCCTGGGCCCGGGGCTCAGTCTGGGTAAATACCCCGGGCCTGGGGCTCAGACTGGGTAAATACCCAGGGCTCAGACTGGGTAAATACCCCGAGCCCGGGGCTCAGACTGAGTAAATACCCCAGGCCTAGGCTCAGACTGGGTAAATACCTCGGGCCTGGCGCTCAGACTGGTAAATACCCCGGGCCCAGGGGTCAGACTGGGTAAATACCCCAGGCCCAGGGGTCAGACTGGGTAAGTACCCCAGGCCCGGGGCTCAAACTGGGTAAATACCCCGAGCCAGGGGCTCAGACTGGGTAAATACAGTGTAGTGCTAAACTGTTTAAATAGCACAGATTAAATTGAAACTATGATTGTAACAATTAGATCAGATCTAAGCTCTGCAGCCCTGCCACATCCAGTTGTGAATGGTGGTGGACAATTAAACAACTCACTGGAAGAGGAGTCTCCACAAATATCCCCATCCTCAATGATGGAAGAGCCCAGCACATCAGGGCAAAAGATAAAGCTGAAGCATTCGCAGCAATCTTCATCCAGAAGTGCCGACTGGATGATTCATCTCGGCCTCCTCCAGTGGTCCCCAGCATCACAGATACCAGTCTTCAGCCAATTCGATTCACTCCACGTGATATCAAGAAACGGTTGGAGACATTGGATACTGCAAAGGCTACGGGCCCTGACAACATTCCGGCAATAATACTGAAGGCTTGTGCTCCAGAACTTGCTGCTCCCCTAGCCAAGCTGTTCCAGTATAGTTACAACACTGGCATCTACCCGACAATGTGGAAAATTACCCATGTCCTGTACATAAAAAGCAGGACAAATCCAACCCGGCCAATTCCCGCCCCATCAGTCTCCTCTCGACCATCAGTAAAGTGATGGAAGGTTTTTTCTTAATATTCTTTGCTAGTTTGCTCTCACCATTAATTTTTTTGTCATACTTTGTTGGCTTTTCAAACTTTCTCCGTCCTGTGGTTTACTGCTAATGTTTCCCCCATTGAATGTTTGTTCTTTTAATATGATTCTGAACAAACTTCCCTGATTAATGATGGTTGGTTTATTTCTTTTCCAGAATCACTGTCCCTCATTGGGGAAGATCTTTGTTGTGAACCATGAACTATAGATAGAATCTTCGAGAGCTTGGAATGGTGCAGACTGTTGATCTTAACATTGGGAACAACTTGCTGCATCTTTTATGGATTTGAAGGGCAGTCAGGTGTGTTCCTCAATGGGCAGCACACTTTGCCAAATAAAGGGGATTATTGCTATTAAATATCGTATTAACAGAGCAACTCGTCTCATTAATGTGCATCTTCCTATCTCACCAAACACGCCACACACATAAACCATTGGGAAAACTCAATGTGGAATCCAGAGCGGGGTCCTGACTGGTTCCACTTTGTTCCAAAAGATCTCCATATTGGACCCTGGCACCACCATTTTAGGCATACTGCATTGGCACTGGCCACATACCCTCCATATCCATGGACACTGGCATGTGACATGTACCAGACTCTAAGAACCCTCATGGTACATGTTTGAGCTACTAACAGGATGCTTCTAAACTTGAAAACTTCAGCTCAGGATGAAGCAGTAACTATCATTGCAATACAGCAACAAGAATACTTTATACTCAGGCACAGGCCTTCAGCTAATTGAGGGGACTAGGCTGCAGCTCCAGGTCCTGTGCTTTCTGTCATCGCACTCTCTCACTTAGAGCCCAGCTCGATGCTGGCAGTGTCCCTACCTCGGCTTTTTGTACATTGCACCCGCCTTCAGCCGGTGAGAGCAGATCCATATTCCTACTGCCTGGCCATTCCCGTTAGCACAGGCACAAAGACAGGAAACTCATCACCGTTGTCAGTCAGTCTTAGTCCATTCAAGAGGGAGAGTCTTCACTCAGGAGATCCCAACACAGGCAGGGCCCTACCCGGGACAGGGTCAGGATCCTCTCCTAATAAGAGTTGGACAGTGGGTAGGTAACCTTTTTGGGGGTATATTGGGTAGATGCCCTTGTTGGGGGGTAAAATAGGTAGCAGCCCCTGTTGGGTAAAGTGGGTAGATGCCCCTGTTGGGGTAAAGTGCATAGATGCCCCTGTTGGGGGTATATTGGGTAGATGCCCCTGTTGGCAGTAAAGTGGGTAGAAGCCCCTGTTGGGGTTATATTGGGTAGATTCCCCTGTTGGGGGTCAAGTGGGTTGATGCCCCTGTTGGGTAAAGTGGGTAGATGCCCCTGTTGGGGTAAAGTGCGTAGATACCCCTGTTGGGGGTATATTGGGTGGATGTCCCTGTTGGGGGTAAAGTGGGTAGAAGCTTCTGTTGGGGGTAAAGTGGGTAGATGCCCCTGTTGGGGGTACATTGGGTAGAAGCCCCTGATGGGGGTAAAGTGAGTAGAAGCCCCTGTTGGGGGTATATTGGGTAGAAGCCCCTGTTGGGGGTAAAGTGGGTAGATGTCCCTGTTGGGGGTAAAGTGAGTAGAAGCACCTGTTGGGGGTAACGTGGGTAGATGCCCCTGTTGGAGGTAAAGTGGGTAGATGCCCTGTTGGGGGTATATTGGGTAGATGCCCCTGTTGGGGGTAAAGTGGGTAGAAGCCCCTGTTGGGGGTATATTGGGTAGATGCCCCTGTTGGGAGTAAAATGGGTAGAAGCCCCTGTTGGGGGTATATTGGGTAGATGCCCCTGTTGGGAGTAAAGTGGGTAGAAGCCCCTGTTGGGGGTATGTTGGGTAGAAGCCCCTGTTGGGGGTATATTGGGTAGATGCCCCTGTTGGGAGTAAAGTGGGTAGAACCCCCTGTTGGGGGTATGTTGGGTAGATGCCCCTGTTGGGTAAAGTGGGTAGATGTCCCTGTTGGGGGTAAAGTGGGTAGAAGCCCCTGTTGGGGCTAAAGTGGGTTGATGCCCCTGTTGGAGGTATATTGGGTAGATGCCCCTGTTGGGGCTAAAGTGGGTTGATGCCCCTGTTGGAGGTATATTGGGTAGATGCCCCTGTTGGGGGTAAAGTGGGTAGATGCCCCTGTTGGGGTTAAAGTGTTAAGGAGAGTACCCGCCTGGAAACGGGAGGCCAATCGGCCCGTTGTTTACGGGGGCGGGCAGTTGCTAGGATCGAGTCCCGGAAGAGCGGAGAGAGCGACTGCTCCCTCGGGATCCACCGGCTCCGGGATCGCGGGGAGCGGCGTCAGATTCAGCCGGGACCGGGATCGGGGCAGGAGGCAGCCAACAGCTTCCGGGAGGGAGCAACAACGCCCCACCCCCAGGATCAGGGTCTGTCTGTGTGTGTGTGGGTGCCTGTGTCCCTCTGTTTGAGTGTCAGTGTCCCTCTGTGTGTGGGTACCTGTGTCCCTCTGTGTGTGGGTGTCTGTGTGTCCCTCTCTGTGTGTCTGTGTCCCTGTGTGTGGGTGTCTGTGTCCCTCTGTGTGT